ATGCTGGGGGTTGCCCTCCCCTTCTCTTCCTTCCTCTCTTCACTCTCCCTTTCTTAAGATATCAAAATTTCCAGAGGGGAAGTATTTTGCCCTGACTGTTCTCATGTCTTGAGAGTAAAGAAGCATTTGTAATGGTCTGTGTTGTATTTCAGCTTCGCCATTTCGGATGTTTGGATGATGGATGTGAAAGTGTTGCAACTCAGGCACAGATTCGTCAGGTACTTACCAAAAAGGAATATGAGGTTTATGAACAGCGTTTGCTGGAGGGGACGCTCGATCTGATGTCCGATGTCGTTATATGCCCTCGAATTTCTTGCCAAGCTCCGGTTATTATTGACGGCGGTACTTCCAAGTACGGAGATTCCTGCACTACTTTCTAATTTTTAATTGCGAAAGCTGGGAAGCTGAAATTTTTGTGATGTAATATAGTCGGCTATCTAAAGGGCCACAAAACTTTTACATCTGTTTTTCTGAGGACTAGTTTTAGACTCAGATTCATGTCATTTTCAACTTTTTTTTGCATAATACAAATTCGAAAGCCCATGTTGGCAAGTCCATTTCCAGCTCTATGTGAGTGCATGTGTATGTATGTGTGTGTGAGTGCTTATATATACATATATATGTATATGTGTCCGTGTGTGTGTGTGTGTGTGTGTGTGTTTGTATTTGCATGTATGTACGTATGATGTGCCACCTATTAAGTCTGCAGCTGGACATACCACAATTTGACTGAAGAAATAGCTGTAAATTTTTGGCCGTGCAATGATGCTCTTTCTTTCATCCCAGGCATATAGCTTTTCAGTTTTACTGCGTCTTGAGCGCTATGACTTTAGCCAGATTTGCTTGTAATTCACAATAGGACTGGACAGCTCGTGCATGCTCTGATTCCTAGTGCAGAAGAGGCTGTAATGCTTTTTCCCCTTTTTCGATGATTTTTTTATGCCCTATGATCGGCAAGAAAAGCGACGTGGGGGTTTGTTGTTGTAGGTATTTTTGGGATGTTCGCTCTCAACTCATTTCCTTCGATCCTGAGCTGCATGCTTCCGATTGGTAAGAGGCATGCAGCTCAGGATCGAAGGAAATAACATATTCGTCATCTCTTCATGGTATATATATTTTTTTTGTTGGATTCATTAAATATAACTTCATTTTAGTCTGGCATCATGTTCACTGTGTCGCTACTCATTCTGTACATTATGCAGGAAAGCCTATCACGGCGTCGATAGCTGCAAGCTAAGTTCAGGTAATATTCATGCTTGGTGTAGGTGTAACCGGAGCTGTTTCTAATTTTAGTCGGCAATTTTTCCAGTTACTGTGACCAGTGCTGCGTTGCCTGCTGGCAGTCTGATCGTTTTTTTCGGCTCCTAGGAATAATTTTATCTCATTTTAGCAAATGATGCTGCTCTCTAAGTGTACAATAAAAAATAGGGAAGAAAGTAGAGGAATGAAAAGTGTTCGAAAAAAGCAGTATGAACCCAGAACGTGGTAATATTATAGTATTGCCTCTCCGAGTACATCTTACGAATAAGGATTTAATTATGGCACCAAACAGTCCTAGAAGGAAACAGTGGCGCGAGCACGGCGCACGAGACGGCCGGGGAGCAATCGATAGAGCGTAAGCGGCCGGGCATACGCGCACACTGTGCACTTGGGGA